TTGACATGGGGTGAAGAAAAAGCCACCATAACTTCGCAGTTTTTTTTTTTTTTTTTTTTTTTTGCATCAGATTTTAATTGCGTATGCAGCTATCTAGCTATGACACAATATCAAAGAAAAGTACAGAAAAGATGACTCAATTTACAAGAGGAGCACTCATGCCTCAGATTTCATTTGCAAGTACCACTGCGAAGTTATGGCGGCTTTTTCTTCACCCCAAGTCAACCCTCATCCGTGAATACCCACCCAGGGGAACATCTCAAAAACCCTGAGTTATCCAGACATGCCTCCGTCATCCATCAACTTTTCTCCGCGCGAAATGTAATCTGAGATGTCTCCTTCCCAAGTGGAGTAGGTGCTCAGGCTACTCAAACTATACCAGAGAACATCACCAGGAGGCGGATCACAACACCTTCCATCGTCCGCTTGTTTTTATAGTGTCAGCTGCACTCTCGCAAGCGAAGTCTTGGCGAGCACAAAGCCCAATTCGAAAAACTCCTTGCCAAAATTCGGAATCTCACGCCCTTCGAGGTTATATCCTACCTCCGCATCATCTTGTAAACTTGTCCTGATCCCTCTCACGTCCATCCCAAAGAACTGTCTCCCAGATTTGTGCGCCACGCTTTGCTTCCTCCGTCGGGTATAAATATCGGCGTGGGCGTGTATTTGGTGACCAGCTGAGGCCAGAGAAGGTCGAAGAGTGGTGTGGTCATTGGAATGAGTATGTACTTGGTCGTACTTGTAGACTCGATGAGACAAAGATAGGAGTCAAACTCGTTGGGAGCGAAATAACGACGTGGAGGAGTAATATGGATTTTTGCCTCGTGGGCCAACTTCTTTGATATTGCGAAATTTGACTGAACTTGGCTCTGGGAGAATATTTCACTCCCAGGTTCGTAGAGGACACCGCGTACAGGTGTTCAGTCTTGCCCTCCTTAACTTCGCAGTGGTACTTGCAAATAAAATCCGAGGCATGAGTGCTCCTATTGTAAATTGAGTCATCTTTTTTTGTACTTTTCTCTGATATTGTGTCATAGCTAGATAGCTGCATACGCAATTAAAATCTGATGCAAAAAAAATAAAAATAGCCCGTACGTCAAAAGCTCACGTGCTGTACGCGGGCACGACGTCAATTATTATAAAGAAATAAAGAAAAATCAATGTCAATCTTCACTTGGTAGCATAGCTTATCGATTTTGTATCATGGTCTCAAGTATCGGAGGAAAAACAGTCGATTTCAGGTACTCTAGTATTCTGTAAAGCCAGCCGTGTTCATTGTAAGGGGATCTTCCTGATAATTTAGTCCTTTTCACTCTTGCTGAAGTATCAGTCATTGAGCCTTACAAGGCATGTGACTTGATTTATAAGCTGGGCTAAGCTAGGGTCTATAGAATGTATCGTAAATGTAGAACTTAGTAGTTATTAGAATAATATACGAAATAAGCTTTAGGCATTTACCAGCAGTACAGTTTTCTAGCCATATCTTCCTTCACTAACTATTAATTATCGTTGTCGAAGTGATCTAGGTCTTCCTCTGGGTGGAGGTCTCCAAATCAATTGAACATGTGGCCAAAGAAGAAAGTAAAATGGCCCAGACTCAGATACTATAGCTGTTTAAACAAGAAAGACCTACATGTCAGTGAGCAGTCATAGACTTTACTAACTTTCATAATATTCTATTAGTAATTATTCATGCCAATAGAATAGGTATGTTCAAGGTCAATTAGTGTTGGAACATCAGTCTCACACGCGCGCTAAGGTTCAATTTACTAATCGCAAGTATATGCGGATTATTCCAGCGCCCGAGAAATACAGAATAAAGATTTTGGTCTTCTTTAATCAATGACAAAATCTCAAGCCGTCCCTTCTCATTTAACGCGTGCCTTCAGCAGGCTCACCCAGTCACACCCACCCATTTTCGCTGTATACAAGCCTAATTTTGTGTGTGCCTTCAGTTAGAGACACAGTAGTTTGTAATTCTATCTAGATATAAATAGGACAAGCAGTTTCTAAACTTAGATCTCCAAAACAATCAAGAACGGTCTGCCAAGAAGTAATGGCCAAAATTTGCGAACAATAGTTATGATGTCTATTTGTCGAGGGCTAAGAATAACTATCGAAGAAGTTGGACAGGGAAATTTGTCAGGTCAAAAATAGGGACTGTCCATACGTATGTGGGTTGTTTGCTTCGGTCAGTGTGTTGTGATATAATGCTGTTCAATCTGCGGACTTTGTGGTGAGCAGTTATTACATCTCACGTGATGGAACATGGGAGCGAAGTAAAAGAGGGGACAGCCCACTAGCCAAATCTAAGCGATTACGGGCACATGTAGAACTGTAGCACATTCTCTGTAGATAGACATAACAAGCAATTATCATCAATAATGAAATCAACCTCCACACAATTGAGACCCATAGAAGTGCCAAACTTTCATACAACCCTCAATTGGATTGTCGCAATCGCATCTGTAACGAGCCACCACTGCATTCTAGAATACATTCTCTAACTGTGATAAGCTACACCGCCAGGTCTAGCAAACAAATTACAATACAGTGCTTGCATTCTGTATTTAGAACCGTAGGTCATTCTATTCCTAGCACATGACTATATTTGGAGATCAAGAAATCAAGTCAATCATGATCAGTGTATGTAGTCCTAGAATTCTGACAGAAATAGGAATCAAGTTGTTTTTACTGAGTTATCTTTAACTTTCATTACATATAGTTCGCCGGTCATAGGTCAGGCTCCCAGTTACCTGACACAATTAGCTGACTATAAAATATCTTAGGTCAAACAATCCGATCTCCTTTATATTTTTTTTTCATGCATCGGATTTAGTTGCATGTGCAGCTATGTAGCTCCGACACAATATCAGAGAAAAAGTGTAGAATCAATGACACAATTGAAAACTGAACGCTTATGTCTCAGATTCTATTTGCAATTATCACTGCGAAGTTATGGCGGCTTTTTCTTCACCCCAAGTCAGCCCTCATTTGTGAATACCCACCTAGGGAAAATTCTCAACCCCTGAGCTATCCACACTTGACTCCATTTATATATTAGTCTCCGCGCGAAACGTGGTCTTAGACTTCTCCTTTCCAAGTGGAGTAGGTACCTAGGCTACTCAAACTACACTAGACAATACCACTAAGAGACGGACCACAACAACTTCCATCATTGGCTTTTCTTTTATCATCTAATATGTATTCAGCTATATAGCCATGACATATGACCGGTGCTATGTATACATGTAGGATGACTCTTTTGACGTTACAGACACTCATACTCTGGATTTCGTTCGCGAATACTTCTATGAGGTATGTACGCTTACAAAAGCAGTCGACTCTCCTCCGTAACTACCCATCAAAGAGGAATTCAAACCCTCTGATTATTCAAGCATGCTTTCATCATTCATGTATACCTGGTCGCCAGAAATAAAGTTTTGTTTTGCCGGATTGGAACCGGCGGTCTCCCGTCTCGAGTGGAATATGTGTCCAAGCTGTCCAGAGTCTAATTGGAAGCCCGGTCAAGACGATGTACCACCGCACCATCCAACCATGATAATATTCATAGTGTCGCCCGAACACCCATATTTAGATAATGTTTATAGTATCAGCTGCGAGCGTGCAACTGACGGCTTTCCTTGCAAAATGCTTCGCAACACAAAAGCTCCCGGTCATTGTACGAAAACCCACTCAAGTCGAGATTAAATTAATCCTTTGTATCGTCATGTAACCCTGTCCCGATTTCTCTCGCACACACCTCAAAGAACTGCCTCCTAAGCCCGTGCGTCACGAGTTTTTTCCTCTGGCGGGTATTGTTATTGTTGCGGGCGTATATTTAGTGGTTGACTGTGACCAGAGAATTGATGAGAAGTGTGGTCATTGAAATAAGGATATACTTAATCGTACTTATAGACTTAATGAGGCTTCGGTGGGAAATATTATTTTTGGGAGTGGAAATCTGATTTAGTGTAGAGTTTTTTATCATAGCACGGTGGGCCAACTTCTTTGGTATTGCGAAATTCAACTCAACTCGGCTCTAGGATAAAACTTCACTCCCAGTGTCGTAGAGGACACCGCGTACAAGTGTTCAGTTGTTATCCCTCATGGCCGCCTCATACTCAGTAGTGGTGGTAATGTTTATCGTCTGATGTGGGCCAAGTCACCATTCTGTCAGGACACAGGACATGTGAAGAATATCTAGAATACATGATCCTCTGGACCGCAGAAGTGCGCTTCTAGTTCCCGGCTTTTCTTATTACCTGCGTTTGAGCCAACTAGCTACATCGATTTGGATGAGTAGAAACATGTTCACCATGACCCTAAGATAGGCCGAGGGATAGACCGATGAGCAACCGAGTGATAAAAATATCATCGGGAAATGCGAATTCGGCTTTGTTGGCACGGCCACCTCATTCCCAGTAGTGTTACGGCTCGTGCACCCTTTACAATGCACTAATTTGCCAGTATACCCCAAATCAAGTCTTAAAGGCAATTTTCAAACGAGTATGTGCTCCGTATTGATAAAAATTTCAATAAGAGTCTCAAACATAGGACATGAAAATTTGCAGGAATGGGTCGTGACGAGAGGGGTAGATCCTAGATTCAGGGCCGTATTTCTTTTATTCTTGGTCATTTCAAATACAAGGAAATAGGCAAAGATGGGTTATACGCAAATAAATTAACCTCTCATGATGTTTATGTAGCGGCCTTTAAGACCGCAGCCTGCCGTATAAAGGGACTTGTATGCCACATTACCTGACATCTGCAACCTGAAAAGCGACGGGAACCTTTGCAAAGTTTTAGGGGTCACAGTAAACCAATCTTATTAGCACAAGGTTTGGGTCCATTAACCACCAAACTCGAACCTTATCGCGCCAAGATTTGCAGGTCGCGTATCTTCCTTTTCCTACAGGCCCAAAACTTATATTGACTGATCAGCTATTTAACAATCAGAATCCCGATTGTCATACATTTCTCAAGCGTGTGCTAAAAATATGAAGGAAACTGCTACAGCTGCTACTCCAACCAGAACATCTTTCCAGAAGCAGGGCTCGAGCGCTGTTCAATCAACACAACGCTCCATCCACAGCTTCTTCTCCAAATCACCTGCAGTTGGCACTCCAACGCGATCCAATGGCTCAAAAGTAAACCAAGATTTACCAAGTTCCATTAATAGTAGGAAAGCATTAACAACACCGCTCAAGAAACCAGCGTTTAGGAATCCAGCCGTTAAAAATACCACACCTATCTGCAGTAGTGATGCCATAGAACCACCAAGTTCGCCCGGAACTCATCTTGGAGATATTTCGGAGGAAGCTGATGAAGATGATTTTGGGTCCACTGTTTCAACGGCCAAAGCCATAAAGCAGTCTGATTGCCTGGTACTTCCGAGCAGTCCAACACGAAAGGTAGGAATAACCCTATAATTTTGGCTTTTCTTTCAATCTAAACTACCAGGCCAAAAAAGCAGTCAAATATGCAGAGTCTGACTCTAGCTGCGAAGAAAGTACTCCAAAATTAATGGCCACCAGTGTAAAGAAGCGAAGAGTTTCAAGGCTGAAGATTGCAGAGGATAGCGATGATGACACTGAGTTTATTGACAATAGACATCAGGTTTCCTCAGGAGAGGATGATGGTTTGTCCACCGGCTCCACCTAATTTCTAGGCTCACAAAAGTCAGAGAAGGAAGACAAATTCATTGCTGAAGATGATTCAGATGTCCCAATAAGCGCAGTCAGGAAGCGAAAACGACCTCTTACCACAACATCCCCTCGCAAACGATCCAACAAGTCCAAGCTGTCTTCTTGTAGCGGTGAAACTCTTGACGAAGAAATAGATCTTCCAGAAGCATCGACAGCGCAGAAGTGGAAATACGACCCAAGTAGTGTTGACACTTTCAGCCACAAAAGTTCAAATACTTCAAAAGATCTCAACTCCAAGAAGAAACCTACGGAGAAGAAAGCCCACAAGACTGAGCCCGAAAATAGATATCCGTGGCTAGCTCAGCTCCGTGACGCGGATGAGATCCCAATAGGACATCCTAACTATGACCCGAGAACTTTATTCATTCCGCAGTATGCCTGGAACAAGTTTACTGCGTTTGAACATCAGTACTGGTCAATCAAGCAAAAACTTTGGGATACTGTCGTCTTCTTTAAGAAAGGAAAGTTTTATGAACTGTACGAGAATGATGCTACGATCGGTCACCAACTCTTCAATCTCAAGCTCACTGATCGAGTTAATATGCGTATGGTTGGGGTACCGGAAGCATCATTAGACCACTGGGCAAATCAATTCGTCGCAAAGGGCTTTAAAATCGCAAGAGTTGATCAATGTGAATCTGCTCTCGCAAAGGAGATGCGTGAATCAGAAGGAGGGAAAAAAACTAGCAAGCCGACAGACAAAATCATCAAGCGTGAGTTGGCATGTATCCTCACTGGAGGAACTTTAGTGGAGGGAAGTATGCTTCAAGATGATATGGCAACGTACTGTGTTTCTATTAAGGAAGGAGCTTCAGATGAAGTCCCGGTATTTGGCGTCGCAATTGTTGATACAGCCACTGGTCAATTTATGATCTCAGAGTTTGACGATGACGCTAGTTTGACGAAATTTGAGACTTTTGTAGCCCAAATTCGGCCCCAGGAACTCATTCTAGAAAAAGGCTCTATTTCTTCCAAGGCGATACGGGTTCTGAAGAATAATACTAGCCCTACAACGATCTGGAATTATTTGAAACCCTCCACTGAGTTCTGGACTGCTGACAACACACGTAGAGAGCTTGACTCCGGTCAGTACTTTAGAGAAGGAAACGGGGATCCAGTTTGGCCTGAAATACTTCATGAGGCAAGACATAAAGATCTTTTAATGTCTGCAGTTGGTGCTCTGATTCAGTACTTACGCACACTAAAACTTGAACACAACCTGCTCACACAAAGAAACTTTGTTTTATACGATCCCATCCAGAAAGGAACTACCCTCGTACTAGATGGGCAGACACTCATCAATCTTGAGGTTTTTGTCAATAATTTTGACGGCACTCCAACAGGCACGCTATTTGCTCTAATCAATAGATGTATCACCCCATTCGGAAAACGTTTGCTTCGGCAGTGGGTATGTCATCCTTTGGCTGATGTTCATAAAATAAATGAACGCCTTGATTCTGTCGACATGATCAACAAGGATCGAACTTTAAGTAACCACTTTAACGAATGTCTATCTGGATTACCTGATCTAGAGAGGCTAATATCGCGTATTCACGCCGGATCATGCCGACCAGAAGACTTTGTGAAGGTTTTAAATGCATTTAGTCAGATTGAGTATACTGCGAGTCTATTGAGCTCCTACAAGGAGGGAACTGGCTGTATAGCAGAGCTGCTTTCGTCACTACCGGATATGAGAGAGAATCTAGAATGGTGGAAATCAGCTTTTGACTACTCTAAGGCCAAGGATTGTAAAGTACTAGTACCAACGGCTGGGATTGAAGAAGAATTTGATGCTAGCCAAAAGTGTGTCGCTGATATTGAGAAAGAAATGGCGGCTTTACTGGTTAAGAAACGGAAAGAGCTTGGCGATTCTTCACAAATTTCATACAAAAATATCGGTAAAGAGATTTACCAGCTAGAAATCCCGGCATCAATAAAGGTTCCCAAGGATTGGCAAATGATGTCGTCTGCTGGAAAGTTCAAGCGATACTATTTCAGTGAGCTGAAACAGCTTATTAGAAAGCTTCAGGAAGCACAGGAGACTCATAACCAAATTACCCAGCAGGTTGCTCGGAAATTTTATGCCCGTTTCGATGACGACTATGATATGTGGCAAAAGGTGATTAAAGTCGTTGCACGGCTTGATTGCCTGATAAGTCTTGCCGCTGCTTCGGCTGCCTTGGGCGAGCCGAGCTGTCGACCGCAATTCGTTGAGGCAGAGCGTAGCACCGTAAAGTTTGAAGAGCTGCGACATCCATGCTTACTATCACACGTGTCTGACTATATTCCTAATGATATTAGGTTGGGAGGAGAATCAGCAAATATTACGCTACTGACGGGTGCGAATGCTGCTGGAAAATCAACAGTCCTTCGAATGGTAAAATCCATGGTTCCTGTCTGGGTTGCTTTTACTAACATCTCATAGACCTGTATAGCTGTTATAATGGCTCAAATTGGCTGTTATGTTCCCGCCATATCAGCCCAACTAACACCCGTCGACCGCATCATGTCTCGCCTCGGAGCGAATGACAATATTTTCGCTGCCCAATCAACGTTCTTCGTTGAGCTGATGGAAACCAAAAAAATTCTGGCCGAAGCGACACCGCGCTCCTTAGTTATTCTTGATGAACTTGGACGAGGAACCTCCTCGTATGATGGAGTTGCAGTAGCCCATAGCGTCCTGCACCACATTGCTTCACATATTGGCTGTGTTGGGTTCTTCGCTACCCACTACCACAGTCTTGCTAGCGAATTTGCTGCACACCCGGAGATAGCACCCATGCGTATGCAGATTCACGTAGACGAGGCGCAGCGTCGCATCACATTTTTGTACAAACTCGAGGCTGGTGTGGCTCACGGCAGCTTTGGAATGCACTGTGCCGCTATGTGTGGAATTCCCAGCAAGGTTATTGATAGAGCCGAAGAAGCAGCACGAAAGTGGGAACATACTGGTCGGCACAAGGCCCCGTCAGAGGCGGCTCATGCAGCACATAGCGTCCTGCCACTGGGTCTGCAGAGTGATGTTTCCTGGGCACTCAAGGAGACATGTGAGGCAGGGGTAATCAGTGAAAGAGGCTTGCGTGTATTATTAAAAGCAATTGAAGCTCTCTAGTGGTGATTCACCTGGAGGGCACGAAGATTGTAGCTAGCGATACGACTGATCGGATGTTGCTTGCACGCGTAAATGGAGTGGAATATCTTGCATAGCTCTATGAGATCATCGCTGTTTTAATGGGTGCGAAATGAAAGTAGAGTTAATACAAACAATAAACTTGCATACTTGATAGCATTAAACATGGTTACCTTTTGCTACAAGTCTTTTATTTTTCCCTTTGCTCCAGACCTAGCACATTTAAGATATCACTTGATACAAAAGACACTGTAGGCTCAGTTCATCCAGTGCCTCTTGAATCTACCACAGTCAAATCCACACAAACTGAATAGCTGTAAGATTCGTTGTAGCAGCGGATAACCATTTGTTTGTGTTAACAGAACATTTTCTGGTAGGCAGATTGTAATTATAAATAAATTCTAGTATACGTCTATCTCTATGTCCATTGCTAAAGTAATGTACGAGCGACCCGACTTTTGTAGCCGTACGAATAAGGCTCCACAAAGTTTAATGCGTCAGATGTCCTGTAGTCCAACAGTGAGATTCTCTAGAAAGCTATTGCGTTTGGCGCCATGATCAGCTTCGATTTTGCCGCAAATACCTTGAAGCAACATCTAAGCCTGCTCTGTGACTTCGTAGAATGAGCTAAGGTGAAATTAATGGCCATTCCCTCGTGATTATGAGCTAACAGTAGTCAAGGGGCTCAAGCTCCTGTTTGGCATTATGCGCAGGATGTGATAACCTTTTCGTCTAATTGATGTACATTAAAGATCATGTGTGTCTACTGAGGAGAAGAATTCCCGCGTGCGGAGGATTGAAGTGTCATTATGTAGAAGGCTAAAAACTTTCACAGGAGAAGTTGGAAAGGGATAGTTATCGAGTAAGAAATAGAAACTATCGACATGTACGCGACTTGTTTGTTTCGGTCCGTGCTTATATTCTGTATTTAGGACCGAATCTTGTATATTCCTAGCGCATGTCAATATTTAGATCAAGTCAATCATGATCAGTGTATGTAGTCCTAGAATTCTGGGAGAAATAGGAATCAAGTTGTTTTTGCTGAGTTATCTTTTACTTTAATTACATATACTTCGCCAGTCACAGGTCAAGCTCCCAGTTACCTGACAACGTGCCCTGGTTTCTGCCTATTACACCTAAACACGATAACCGAAGGTTATTCCACAGATCACACATTACAACACTCCCATAATAGCGAATACTCTCTACTTGTGGAGCGTATTCGCTATCTTTACATTGGATGCTCTCATCTATCTCATTTCGGGATGATGTTATTATTTAATTCTTCCCACTATCTTTCTCCAAACACTCTTGGTTCGGAATCAGCGATGTGGTATTGTTATATTGTTTATGTGTTAGTAGGCTTAAGATAGAAGCAGCTACCATCATTACTATCAGGTGAGTCAAATTTACTGCTCAGTTTAATTGCTTGTTTTCCGTTATTGCGACTTGATGTTTGCAGATTTTTAGTGTTTTGGAACCCGCTCTGTATGCTTTTTATAACAGTCCTTGTTGGCGTGGACATGACGGAAAAGAGTCCATTGTTCTTCAGGGTAGGCATTTGGATCCACTTCAATCTGTTTCTTACAGCTAGCAGGACCATAAAACTTGCGAAATTTTCTGGATTTTTCCACTTAATTTGGCCAGTGTCTCTCGCAAGCGCAACAGCTGGGTTGGCGTCCACGTCATCTTCTACTTCATTGATTTTAGCAATAATATCTCTTGTTGCTACTGTGGCTCTCAAAGTTTTTATCATACGATGGACTGGAATGTATTGGGATGCATCTACTGCCTTTGTTTGTCTCCATACATCGAGACATTTTATGTATTTCGTGCCCTTGAAGACGTATACTTTAGCAAGATTATCTGTAAACTTAAATTGTATGGCAGCTAAGTTGTCTCTCGACAGTGATTCTATCAGGTAATTGCGTGGAGTACTAAGCGGCAATTGAAGTAACCTTAGTAGCAACGAAGACATCAAATACTTCGGAGTGGAGGCGCTAGTTCGCTTCCTCGTTAACCCGGGCAACCATGTTATATAATTGTAAAGTAGCAAGTCGGTGGTAGTAGTCTTGGGGCTTCTGGGCCTCATCGAGGCGCCGAATAATTATATTCTGTGCTTTAAATTCACCCTCAATCCATTCCTATAGTTGGGCCTGATATTCAATCATTCTAGCTTCTAACTCTTTGGGTTCTTCATCCTCGATTTTCTGACGCTGTACTGGTTTGGTTTCTGGGTCAACATCTCGGATATCATCGAAAACATGTCCTAGCATATCTGCGGTCGAAAGTTCAGCCGAGAGATCTGCTTGCCAGTTATTGAAAGATGTGCCGTCTTGGAGGATGACTCAAGTATTGCTGGATGATAATATGTTGGTCCTCGATGATCTGATTTGGTTGTTTTTTACAGTCTAGACAATTAGGTAGGTTTTCAGTAGATTAGTCGGGCTCATAACCTGTTGTAATTATGACTTTTCTGTGATCAATGGTCTGAAGCTCCTGTTTAGCATTATGCGCAGGATGTGATAAAATTGTGGTATGATTGATGTATATTATAGACTTTCAAGGAAGTAATGAACCCTCAGTCATTGAGGTTGTAAAGCGCATAGATTCAAGTAACTACCAAAGTAAAACTAAGTACACGTTTTGTATTCACGTGTGTGCTAACAACGTGGCCTACCTGATAGCCCCAGTTAGTCTAACATCTAGCAAAGACTATGTTTTTTTTGTATGTAAACTTGCTAGGCAGTTTGTAACCTCCCCGTGCGAATAGACCAAAGAAACCGAGCGATCTCTGTTCTAGATCGTTACCTCACGAGGCTCCAAATAAGTTCTAAGAGCGTGCCAACAGCCGAAGATCCGGGTAGACTTTATTACCCAACAGCTAGACCTACTAGTGAATCCACTGGGAACGACAAGAAAGCTGAAGCAGCCGGCAAAGACGAATTCTTCACCTTCCAGTGGTGCCGGTGTAATCGCTCAGTATGCTCTGCATATCTGGGATAGCCAAGAAGAATCGCATCCGAATCGAAGTCGAAAGCAAACACATGTATATCTCCATTTGACGACTTCTCAACCATGCAGCACTCATCATTATCTTCTGAGTCCTCAACCCCGATCTAACCACATATCACTTCGCCTCGACGACCAATAAAGGCATCACCCCAATTGCAAACAGGAGCTTGCCTCATTCATTACCAGCCATCACTCTCTACATATTTACGACGCTATTTATACCCGCAAGGAGGAAATCAAGTCGAAAAATACAAAGTTGGGGTCTTGGTTTATGGGGGACTGCTGCTCTAATGGGGTTATACATCTTGAGGAAGAACAAGCGGCTGAGATGTGGAGCGAGAGGGGAAAGGGTTCTCTGACGACCATGCTGGGACTGACATTTTTGAGGAGTTTTCAACTTTGGATTTTTTGTGGGCGCCAAGACCAAGATTTCGGCTAATTAGCCAGGAGGGCTTCTTTTGTCGATGAGTCAACGGCACTCTCAAGCGCACTAGACGGTACAAAAGGAGTTGGGCTAAGTTGCTATACAGCAATCACGCTCTGTCAAGACTTTTCTGACATTTCAGCACGACCTTCGGGAAGGAGTTGGAAGGAGGCTAGAAAGGCAGAGGGTGAATTTCCCAAGGTACCCACAAGTCTGCAGCACCCAGCTGGCCGGCCTCTTCGAACGCTTCAGAAGGGGCATTATGTCTTCGGATTTATTCCTAATGTCGGTATTAGAAGAGCCCCGCACCCAGTGGTTTTTTTGCGAGTTTTCCCGGCTGCCATACACCCGCAAATGGCCATCGTATCGTTGGCTGGAGAGGGGAGATAATGAAGGGCTAAGGGCTCCTCTTAGTGTATGATCGAATGAGGACTTGTGAGGGGTGGTACTGTTTGAGGGGAGCTGTATGGGAGGCATAGGAGGGGATATACTACTGGTATAGGTATCCTTGGCCTGTAGGCAGAGAGGACCTGCATGTCCTACATAGTCATAGACTCAGACAGGACAATAAAATGAATTAATAATAATAATAATAATAATAATAATAATAATAATAATAATAATAATAATAATAATAATAATAATAATAATAATAATAATAATAATAATAATAATAATAATAATAATAATAATAATAATAATAATAATAATAATAATAATAATAATAATAATAATAATAGAAGAAAACATCATTTTTGCCAGAAAGCTGCGCAGCGTTCCACGCTGCCCGTATCATCAATTTGACATCGTGATTATCATTTTTACATCTTTATTACCCTCCTCTCATCTTTTCGCTTTCCGTGCTCCAACATGGCGGGTGTGGGTGCTGGTGTGGGTAAATCCAGCGGATTCGACGCGTCGCAAAATGCGACAATGGCACAATCAAACAACGGCAGCGGAGCGCAGACAGCTCCAAAGGATAGAAACCTTGAAATCCTGGGGAAACTATTGAAACAGGTTAGATTAATCGTTATGGGAGAGATGGATGAGGACGACCTACCCTCAATGGAGGACGTGAACGAGGCCATCAAGGCCTTCAACGCACACAAAAGGGCCTGGACGGAAATGACCATGAAGAAGTCTCCTATCGAGGAGAGGATGATGGCGCTCGAGGAGGTTGTCAAAAAGAGCCTCGCGGATCCTGCTCGAAAAGCTGCACCAGCAGTGGTTTCGGGCGCGCCGACACAAAGGAGTTACGCGTCGGTCGTAGCTCCACAAATGGCGAAAACGGCGGTCAGAATAAGAATCGATGGCGCACAAAACCTGCAGCCACAAGAGCTGCTGTCAAAGGCACAACAACACATCGAAGGCGCATTTGCAATTCGACAGATGCGAAGCAACGACACCGAGGTGTTCGTCCAGTCGGCGTCCCAGAGAGACGCGGCGCTTAATATGCGACAACCAACGGATTTTAAAATTTTGCGGCAAGACTTTCCTGTTGAGGTTTCCGGAGTCCCACTGCGGACAAGAATTGAGGGTGGCA